GTTACCCAGGCTGGAGTGCAATGGCGTGATCTCGGCTCACCGCAGCCGCCGCCTCCTGGGTTCAGGCAATTCTCCTGCCTCAGCCTCCTGAGTAGCTGGGATTACAGGCACGCACCACCATGCCCAGCTGATTTTTTGTATTTTTATTAGAGACGGGGTTTCACCATGTTGACCAGGATGGTCTCAATCTCTTGACCTCGTGATCCACCCGCCTCGGCCTCCCAAAGTGCTGGGATTACAGGCGTGAGCCACTGCGCCCGGCCCCACCAGCAAGTCTCTTAAGGGGCGTGTCCACACCCCAGGACTTGTCTGGGAACTGGGAGAGGCTGACGAATGACGTTCAGCCGGGCTTCTCCCTGGGTTCACTGTGTCTAGGACCAGGGACCAGCCCTTGAAGATCATCAGCAGTGACTCCACGGGGCAGCTGCACCTGCTGATGGTGGATGAGATGGGGTCCAGACTACAGAAAGTGGCCTCATGGCAAGCACATCAGTTCGAGGCCTGGATTGCTGCTTTCAATTACTGGCATACAGAAATTGTGTATTCAGGTCAGTATTCCTCCACTGGTCACCTCTCTGGTGGAAGGCTTGCTGAGGGAGGGTGCACGGATGGGGAGGCCCGTGCTGCAGCTGTGATTCCAGTGCTGTTGGGATCTTGAAGACCTTTTATGGAAAGTATACTTTTTTTTTTGAGAATGTACTTTCTGGGACAAAGACTAGTTGGTGCTCATCACTTAGCTCTGCTTTAGAGAGCAAAATGTAGCTTGCCTCAGACAGTACAGGGTCCTGGGTGGCGCTGGCCAGGGTGTTGGAGGAGCAGGCACCCGTGGGCAGAGCCGTCCTGCCTCCATGATGTGCTTGGTCTCAGGCCCTTCATGCTTTTACTGGAAGTCCAGTTTCTGTGCTTTTTGCCTGATGTCTGTGGATACAATAGTGATTTCACCATGTTGGATTTTGGGTTTGTCTGCTCCCTTTTTGTATAGAGTGTATCTTCGAGAAAAAAGGAAACATGAGAGAAGTAAGATTCATTTGCAGGTCTTGTGAATGGTTTGTATTTAGGGCATGCCAATGTGGGAGTGAGAAGTTAACATTCCAGGAAGGAGGTGGCTTTGGTCAGCTTCTCTTTCCCAGGGAGAGAGAACTCATGGCAGATGGAAGGGCTGATCTCAGAGAAGACAGAAGAGCTGCTGAATTTGCAAATAGCTGAAGAAAAGATCTGACCCTTCCCTGCTGCTAACCACCCAGGCCACTGTCTCGTCTGGTTAGTTACAGCAGAGCATAAGTGGTGGCCCTGCCTTCATTCGTGACCAGTCCAGCCTCCACACAGTAGCCAGAGCGAGTGTTTAAAAACACACACACTGTATCTTATCTCACTTGTTGTTAGAACCCTTCACAGTTCCTGTTTCGTTCAGGATGAAATCCATGATACTGATGTGGTTACCCAAGGCCTGTGGAGTCTGGTCCACGCCTGCCTTTCCAGCCGCATTTTGGCTCCTCTGCTCTTACTCACCTTTTCCTGAAACAGTCCACATTCCCCTAGTCTGAGGGCTTTATCACGGATGTCTCCTTCATGGGTGAACTCCGCTTTTCTGGCAGGCTCAGCTTACAGTCTTGTCCTTAAAAGACTGACGCAGAGCAGCGCCTTTCCACCCAAGCAGGCCTGGCCTCTACCGTGGCTCTCACAGCGCCTCTGCTTGTCCCAGGCACGAGGATGTGCCTAAGACGGGGTTCTTATTTGTGTTGCTCATTGCCACAGCCTTGAACTGTCTGAGAGCCATAAAGATCTCATTTCTTGAGGTCTGTCCTTGGATTAGTTGTTCTGCCTTGAGCTAATTCAGAGCAGAGATACAGTAAGGCAGTTATTTAATAATTCTGGACTAATTCACTCTTTCAACAAATACTATGTGCCAAGCCCTATTCTAAGTGATTACGATACTTCAGCAAACAACACGGACAAAAGTCCTGCTTTCTTTTTTAAGTTTAAGTTTATTTTTATTTTTGTGTTTGGATGGATGGATGGATGGTGGATCGTCGGATGGATGGTAGGTGGGTGGATGGCTGGATTTTTGGGTGGTGGTTGGATGGATGGTGGATCTTTGGATGGTTGGTGGGTGGGTGTATGGCTGGATTTTTGGGTGGTGGTTGGATGGATGGTGGATTGTTGGATGGATGGATGGTGGGTGGATGGCTGGATTTTTGGGTGGTGGTTGGATGGATGGTGGATCGTCGGATGGATGGTGGGTGGGTGGGTGGATGGATTTTTGGGTGGTGGTTGGATGGATGGTGGGTAGGTGGGTGGATGGATGGTGGGTGGATGGCTGGATTTTTGGGTGGTGGTTGGATGGTGGATCGTCGGATGGAAGGTGGGTGGGTGGATGGCTGGATTTTTGGGTGGTGGTTGGATGGATGGAGGATCGTCGGATGGATGGTGGGTGGGTGGGTGGATGGATTTTTGGGTGGTGGTTGGATGGATGGTGGATTGTCGGATGGATGGTGGGTGGGTGGATGGCTGGATTTTTGGGTGGTGGTTGGATGGATAGATGGGTGATCGTCGGATGGTAATAGGAGGATGGATGATGGGGGTTGGGTGGCCGATGGGGCTGGATGGAAGGTGGGTGGGAAGGCGGGTTGATGGATAGATGGATGGTGGGTGGATGGCTGGATTGCTGGATGGATGGTGGATTTTTGGACCGTGTGGGGTGGTGTAGGGGGGTGGATAGATGGTGGGATGGGTGGAAGGTGGGTGAATAGTGGGTGCTGGATGATGAGAGGGTGAGTGATGTGGTCTGACCTAGACATTTTCCTTCTGCTCTTCACTCTTTTGGGACCTGCTCTTGAGCTTCTGTTCCTTCAGGTGCCACCATTCACTCTATGCCTGTGTCGCTTTTCTTCAAAGACGGGTTGTGGTTCAGTGCAGCAAATCCTCTTTTCTCCCCATCCTTTAAGGTGACAGAGGGCACCTCCC